GTTATTACTAAAGTTACGACTTGTTTTGATACCGTTCACACCCGTAGGATCTTTGTAATATTTGCCTGTTTCTGCTATTATTATTATGATAAGGTAGTCTGTTGTTGTGTACAAAATATTGATAGCAATATTTTCTGTTATTACTGAAGTTACGACTTGTTTTGATACCGTTCACACCCGTAGGATCTTTGTAATCTTTGCCTGTTTCTGCTATTATTATTGTGACAAGGTAGCCTGTTTTTGTGAACAAAATATTGATAGCAATATTTTCTGTTATTACTAAAGTTACAACTTGTTTTGATACCGTTCACTCCCGTAGGATCCACATATTCCTTCACATAAAGTAATTTTATGTTTTTGTCTATTACAGCACTCACTATAAAGAACTAATAAAATAAATTGTTTAAAATCAATCATTTTTCATGTAAAATGTATATGGGGCATCAACAGTAATTAATAGAATTAACTGCAATATTTAGTATTTTTTTTTAATATTTAGTATAAACAACCAATTTGATGTATAATTAATAATTTAAGCATATGTTCAAAAAGCTGATGGACCCCGATGGTTATTCTAGGGCTAAAAACCGTATCGCTATTATCATTGTGTTATAATCCAAGAGGTAGGTCAGGTTTTAATCTTGTCTGAGGCCAATTGTCTGCAGATTTCGAAGTAATTTCTTACTTGCAGCACTCTGACCGATTTTTCTCTACAATTTACTAAATGACGTACCCTTACATTGAATTTCTGTCCAAATTTATATGCTGTTTATGATATATATGATCTAAAAATACAGTGATATTTATTAAGATGTAATGTTTCTCTTACAGCCTGATGAAATATAGTCTTTTAAATCATAAAAAGCAACAAAATAAGGCAATAGCACACAAAATCAAGTGTTTTATTTCATATTTCTCTCATGAAACTAGTCACCAAAATTCGTGACTATCGCAGTAATCATGGGTCTTTTGTGAGTAAAGCAACCTTTGTTTTATTTATTTCGAATGTTTAATACTCCACGTTTATAACGTTTTATGATGGATAAATTCAAGTCTATTTAGAACATATTTCTTTTACCAAGATTAATTTAGAAAAACACTAACCCTACTCGTTCAGTTCTGACAGATTATATTGGTTGCTTAGAGTACGTATTTTCTACAATTATATTTACCTTGTTAACTTTGTAGACAAGTTTACAACTTGTGCATTAGTACATTTGTTGAATACTTTACAAAGTAAAATTAAACTAAAAATAGCTGAAAAGTGCTATTTATTAGTTTAACTTCTTTTAATGGAACCTAATCAGTTGTTAAAAATTGAGATATTTTCAATAATTATGAGATTTAAGATCACT